AATAAACGTGGAAGAGAAAAAGGAATATTGTATTTTGTCAGAATTGTAAGAAGAGTTGATCCTATTGTTGAATTATTAACTTGAATTAAAAAATCCACAGAAACTAATTTGGTATTTGTGCGAAAGTGAAAAAGAGTATTCACCACACTACGAGCACAATCATCTGAAGTTTCATCCATGGTGATTGCTACTGGTTTACTTTCAAACATAAGTTTAAGTTGTGTAAGATGGTTTTCAAAGATTTGAGGTAAGTACATTTGACGTAATGTAGGTGCTTGGGGGATAAACCTCCATGTTTTCAAAAAAAAGGAATAAGAGAATTCACTTTTTCTAAAGGTATATTAGCAGTAGCAAGAGCTTGAATTAAATCTTCAATTAATTCTTTTTTACTATCAGCAATAGAAATTGTTGAAGTAATTGTCCTTTGTTGTCGTATTTCACCATTTCTCTGTTTTTTTTCATATGCTGCATTTTTTGCACAATGAACAGGACCACGAACATGGTCATCAACGGTTGATTTTTTTTCCCATTTAATAGCATAATTGCAATATATACAAAGCAAAATACCGTCATCAACAACTTTAAAATGACCTGGATGTTCAGCTGCGCGAGTATATACAGTTACTTTTTTTCCATGCTTAACCATTTTTAACTAGTAGTTACGATTTTTTAAAAAAATACTTCGAAAAAAAAGATTAAAAATAGATTTTCTAAAATCTGCTATAATCTGCGATTATTTTTATGGTATCTGCTTTGAGCTATCATTTCGGACAATTCTGCGGTTTTCTGCTTAAAGCAGAAAATCATCGTCCCTGTGTAGGAGATGTATTTGTTCCAAGTTGTGCATAATCTAATAGGATAGTGACAAGTGAGATGAAAATTTCCATGATTTAAGGCTATTAATTCCATGAAATGATACCATTCACAAAAAAATATAGAAAGATAAAATACGGATCAGATTTTTTACAGGATTGCCTAGTTGTGTTTATAGAAATTCATTATAGTTAAGTATAGATTTGTTCAACAACTAGAGCTTTGACTTATTTGTTTATTAGAGTTTTGACTTGTTTATTTGTTAAACATTTAAAAAAAATAAAATATTTGATAACTACTTTTATATAATTTTAATTTTTAGCTCGTTTATTTTTAAATTTTTTTAATGTTGATTTATATTCATCAAAAAAAATAATATAAAAATCAAGATGAATTATAGTATAAAAAATTTTTTCTGTAATTTTAATACTAAATATTTTAAAGTTTTAATTTATTATGATTATTTTTATAGTATAAAAAGTTTAATTTGTCATGATTATTTTTAGATTGCAATTTAATTTATTATATTTATCAAGACAAATTATAATAAAAAATTGTATATATAAAATTTGATTAAACATTTACATTTATCAAGATAAATAATTTAAAAATAGAAACTTTTATTATCAACTTAAATTTATCAAAATGTATGTTTAAAAAAAAATGATGAAGTATAAATAATAAAAGCATAGTAAATTTATATTCTAATATTAACTTAGACAAATTTGAAAAAAAAATAATGAAATATAAATTTATTGATTATAATAAAAATGCAGTAAATTTAAATTCTAATATTAATTTAAATTTATCATGAAAAAAAAGTGATAAAATATAAATTTGTTGATTATAATAAAAGCACAGTAATTTAAATTCTGATATTAACTTAAACTGTTGCTAAAATTTTGAAAAGTGATTCAAAAATAACAACTTTTGGCCAAGCTCCTATTGTAATAAGAAAATTAAAACCAAAGGTCAATGTTTTTGCAGCAAATGTAATAGAAAACTAGTTGACCCACACACTAAAAATTCACATGTAACTAGAACAATTAATTTTTTTAAAATCATTGCATTCTAAGCAATCAATATCTTTACCTCTGTTAAATGAAATTCAAATGTCATAGGTATTAATTGAATCATTTAATTTGCAAATAAAAAGTGAAACATACTTAACATAAATAATATATGATATTGATATGTATGAAGAATAAAGTTTTACTTTTCTTTTACGTAAAAAAGAATTAAAGCAAACATCTTTTAACATATTACAAAGATTGATAAATCAATTAAGGATGATTCTGAAGAACTGGTAACCAAATATAATATGAATGATATTCATACTGATGAATCTTCAAATGAATCTTTAATAAAGATATTTCTTTTGATGATAATGATGAATTTTTGAATAAGTACAAAAGTTATTTCTATCCAACATTTGACTTTGATACTTTCAGTTAGAACAATTACCAAAACAAAATTAGTTATTTATATGGATTTTAGTGTGGATAATGAAATTCAAATTGAATTACAATATTCCAAAATCCAGATACTATAACTGAAGTTTTGATAAAGTTCATTAAAATATTATTAAAAGAATGTGAAAATATTAACCATGAAACTTTCCTGAATTTTTTATATATAACAAGAAAAATTTTAGGTATAGTTGATTGATTTACATATTTTATGGCATGTTCAAAATGTTATTACAAACTACATGGTACAGAACCTCTATACTTAATTATTTATGTATAGTAACAATTAATTGATTATAAATTTCTAAAAAAAAATTTTTTTATATTAAAGTAAAAATTTAACTGATAATTTTTATAGATATGATCATTAGCTTTAAAAATTATCAGTTATTTTTTTTCTAAATTAAATTTTAGTTAAGTTTTAGCTGTTTAAAAATCTGTAATTTAAATATAATAATCAAATTTAGTTAAAATTGAGACTAGTCTAAATTTTACATCATCAAAATTTTTTTCAATATATCAAGAAAAAAAAAAAGTTCTAAAACTGCAAAAAAAAAAAATTTAATGAATAAAATTGTTTAAATATAGGTCAATTTAATATTATAAATAATGATTATATACTATTAAGTGAATATTTAGAAGGCAATTCAGATGATAAATTTATAAACAGAAGAATTCAAAAACAAAGTAATTTTATATAAATTTAATCATCATGTACCTGATTTATCAGTTTATAATAAATATAATAAATAATTATATAATTTATAAAGTCCTAATTTCTAATTGGTTAATATATATATATCACATAATGCTTACATAATCTAAAAAATCAAGACTTTTTTTTATTTTATAAATTAATTTCTTTTAACAAATAGATTTTAATTTTTTTTATAAAATCAAAATTCAATTATAAAATCAAATTTTATTTAAATTTTTTTAAGTTCCTATTATAGAGGTTCTGCACTGTATAAAAAGAAGGACACATTGATAGAAGACAATCATGTAATAATGAATTATAGTCATGTAGAATTTTCCAATTCAAGTAACTGATAATAATTTTCAAGCATATAAAATTTAGTAATAATATATCATGAACGAAACATTGAAAATTCACTAAAGTAAATATTGCTACTAATTAAGAATCCAAGTTGTTCATCTAAGAAAATATTTGTTCTAGTAAGCAGAATAATTCAAAACAAAAATACTTTGATAATAAATAACTAAACGATTTACTTACAAATTTATCGTAATTGTCGCTTCTGCCTGCTTCTGAAAATTTTTCCTTTTGACTTTTTTGACTACCTGCTTATTTTTTTTTTCTTCCTCGGCTTCTTTTACTTCAGTTACAGTTATTTCATTCATGATCTCTTACGTAACAGGTTTTTTATTTTCAAAAGCTCTCTAATAATTAATTAATAATTTATTAATATCTGCAAAAAATTTCAAAAATAATTTTTCTTTGAAGTATTGCAATAATATTTGCACGGTGCATGGTTGGTAATTCTTTTTCCTTATGCTATTTGAAAACAGCTAATGCAAGTACTTCGAGTTGGAAAGGCTCTGAAGTATCTGTTTGAATTTCAGAAGTGCCGGTCAAAGGTTCATTGGATATAGTGGTGCCCAAAGGTTCACTAGCCATAGTGATAAATTGTAAAGAGTGAAGTATAAAGTGCAAAGTGTGAAGTAATTTCCCCTACTTATATTACTTTTATCCCCTATAATCAAAGATCTTTGAGGATAAGTTAACATTTGTTTCACATCCATCTATCTTGTTCCACAAATATAGTAAGTTCGAAATTACTGAAATATCTATCTTGCAGGCAATGCACCTATCTTGTTTTCCATACACTAAAGATCCGCCGTGATGGTTGCAAAACATAAATGTCCCTAGATCTTCGTTGACAATCCAACTTATCGATCATGAATCGCCTAAATTATCCTGCATTAAATGTATAATTTTGAATATCCAATTAGTTATATGAGAAAATTTTAATCAACAAAGTTTTTTTATTTGCAATACATTAGATAAAGCTGGTTCTAAAGGGACCCGTTTCATTGGTTGTGACACTAATGAGAAGCTTGAAAGAGAAACTATGTATTAGTTACAAAGCCTTCTTGCAAATGTCCAGCCTAAACCAAGTAAACCTACCCTTAATTGTGTAATGTCTTGCCTAGCGCTTTGTTAAGTAAGTTTCGTCTCTATTATTTCACTGGCACTTTTTTTTATGCTGGGGTACATAGCAAAATATGTCCGTTATATTTGCTTATTTTGGCTCTATTATTTCATGATTAGCTGATAATATACAGTGTAATCGAGATTCATTTCATCTGTGTTACTACTTCCAATTGAAAAGGCTGTAGAACACTAAATTAAAGATAAGTATTGTTAGCATATTCTATTATATTTGCACATCTTCATCAGCTATGAATCAAAACTTACTAACCAATTCTGATCCTAGCGCCGGTAATAATCTGGATGAAGAATTTGTGACAAATGACAAATTTTGGGCAGATGACAAGGATGACGAGAATGACAAATCCTGTGATGATGACAATTATTGGTGAGATCCTAGAAAAACATATACAGGGTGGGATTATATAGCTCATTTTGACGAAGATAGTTGATCATGTCCGATTAGCTTATTATCATAATATTCTTTTAGACTATTTACTAGGTGTCTTCCTAATTTATCTGAGCATGAAAGAAATGGATTGTTTGACGCATTTTCTAGATCTAGAGAATTTGGAATAGATGAACACAATTCATTACTAGATGCGTTAGCTCATCCTAAGGAAGGATTAAACCTCTCAAAATATGATGAATTCAGATTATATTAGACTAATTTTCATTTCTTGATCTCTCCTCAAAAAAATAAATTTTCTCAGAGTAGAAGTCAGAGATATGTAATATTTTTACAGATATTATCTAAAAATGAATTTTCTTATCCCGCCGATCAAAGATCAAGGGAGCGAGAAAGTTTCTACTATTTCCTTGCCTTAATGCATAAAATACTTTATTAAAATAGTTAGGTTATCTCCTGCAGTAACAAAGCTATCAGGGAGCATTAATACAGAAATAAAAAAATAAATACAAATTGGGGTGTAGCTATTCTGAAAATGATAATATATTTTTTTGTATTACTCTCTTACTATCTGATTTCTATTTGATCTGCAGGTGAAATAATAGCCTGAAATTAGTGTGAATGAGCACAGTGTGAATGAGCACAGTGTGAATGAGCACAGTGTAAATGAGCACACCAATTACGCTAAGGATCTGCAAAGATAGTTGCAAACCAAAAAAATCTCCAACTTACTGATCACGAATTAAGATTTCATCCTGTATTAGTGTGAGTACGATCAAACTATCAGCATAAATAATCCTTATCAATTCGTCCATTACTACTCTACAAAGAATTAATCAAAGCAAGCTTTTTTTATTTGCAATACATTGGATAAATTACAAACTAGTGACTTTGCTTATGATACAGTTTAAAGCTCTGAAGATGCCAGCAAATGCTCAGCCTAAACCAAAAGTAAACCTATAACTTTCTCACACTAAGATACGCAGTGAGTATGCCCATTATATTTGCTTATTTACATAGTTGCAATATTCGTATTTACAGGTAAAAAAAAAAAACTCTTTCCCGAATACATTTTTTACGAAAATTTCTGCGTAATAATTTTTTTTAAAAAATAATTCCCTTTATTAAATTTTATTACATAAATATAAAAAATGTCTATAGATAAGAGCCGAACACCAAACGAAGAAGCTTTAGACTTCGTTTCTAAGTTTAACGAAATTTATTTTCAAACTTTTACATACCACTTAAGTTCTTTTGTTACAGACGGTTTTCTCAAGGACTTATTTGAAAAAAACCCCTCAGTACCTAAGGATAAAGCCCAGTTACTGATACAGAAGTTTGGCGATACAGCCAACCCTGCGAACTTCACTTCACAAGCTCAAGCTACGAATATACAACCCACCACCCTTTCGCTAATATTTTCTATAGCGCTATATGCTGCGTCCAAGTCTTGGGATAATTTTTCTACCCAATTCTATTGCAATTTTGGCGATACGGGTGATGATGATGATGACGATGATGATGGATCTCAGAATACTGATGATTATCTGATGGATGAGTCATATCCGCTTGAGCCCGATGTAGATGAACTTTTACGCCAAGGATTTCAAATGCCACCAAATCCAGTACCTATCAAGCTTCCATCAATGCCTGATATAGTAATGCCCCCTGTTGATCAAACTGTAATACCCGAAAACTCCCGGAAGAAAGATAAACAAAAGGCGCGTGTTACAGATGATAAACAAGTCGCGAACCAATCAACAAAGGCAAAACCTGATGTGAAAACATCAGCCAAAAATTCCAAAAAGGGAAAGAAATCATCCAAACCGGAGGCTACGCAGATACTGACAGGATACGAAGCTGTCAGAGAGGAGCAAGAACGAATCCGAGACATAATAGTTTACGATATCCCATATACCTGGAACCTGCAGAAAATAATAGCAGAGTTAAAATTTTGGGGGAACGCTATTAAATGTTCCGTTAAACGGCAACATAAGTATCAGACTCTCTGAGTCAAAATAGCACTTTCCTCATTTGCCCTTCCCCAGTTTAATAAATATTGGACGACAGACCTGGGAGGTATACCCGTTAGATGGTTCCCTGCAAGTTGGACTTTACGAGAAAGAAAGCAACGTGAAAAGTTCCAAGCTGTTATTCATGACATTCCGGAGGATATGACGATGGCTACCTTGTGGATGGACCGTAAACCATGTGAATTTTTAATGAAGTGCGGTGCTAGCTCATTTAAAATTATTCAAACAAGCAAAGGAAGGAGGAAACTTGTGGCCTATTTCGAGAATTGGGAGACCACACTAAGGGCCTTAGATACGCCACAGTTTTTCGTACCTGATGGTAAGGAGTTGAAATGGTGTCGACACTCCATTCCTACCTTGAAGAAAGCACAAAACAAACCGAAGGCTAAAAATACACCGAACCCGAAAAAATCAGGTAAGTCTGATAAGAATTTGGAAAGTAATCAGCCTAAGAAGAAGGATAAACCTACATCCTCGAAGAAAATCCTGAAAAATAATGACCAGGAGGAGAAACACCCGAATACTCAGAAGAAGGCAAAGAAGTCCTCGAAGAAAAAGGATGGTAATAAAGATAACAAGGTGGTTTTAGCAGAAATTTTAACTTTATTACAGAAACTAGTTTAGCCTACGCTTTAATTAGCAGTTTCACGAATTTCAGAATTGTATTATTTTTTAGGATAGAATAGGTTTATGTGTTTGCACCATAATTTCTTGGAAAGGGGACTTGTCCTCTCCACTTTTTTCCCTCTCCTTTTTTTTACCCAGTGTGTTCGCCTGGACTTTTATCAGACGTGGTAGTAATGCAGGTCTTTTATTTTCAAGTAGTTCGGGTTGGCTTCCAGCTCCTCTGGAAATCGATGGTAGGATTTAGTTGGGTTGTATTACTTCGGAATCATGCTCACGTTTATATCCCCTGCCGGCTTCACATAAAATAAATAAATAAATAAATAAATAAAATTCGTATTTACAGGTTGCTGTTTACCTTAGGAAAGGAAAAATTTTTTTTTGGAAATAATGTGAATATATATGCCAAACTTATGTCACACAGCCCTATTTTTCAGCAAGAATTTCTCAATATCGACTACTGTGCATTTCAGGTGATCAGACCACAAGACCAAGCTTTGTTACAATTGCGAAGTTGAGTTTATTGCTTGAAGTGTTGCAGGTAAGACAATATTCCAACTTATATTGAGAATACAACTTCACTAATTCAGGATTATAAGGGAGCTGATTCCCATTTTCGCAGTACCATAAGCCATGTAATCCATAATTCCCATGTTTTTCATCACAAATAGAAGAGCTCCATAGCAAATTATAATTATCAATCCCCCTATAGCTATTTTGGAATTTCAAGTATGTAAAGCGATTTGATAATTAATTCTGGATCGAGCCTGGTGAGATCCCCCAATTCCCTCTGTCATCAATCTACAGAGTTGCCACATCAAATGGGCATTCTCATGGTCGAACGAACGAATAATCGAACAAACGAACAAATAAACGAACAAGCAAATAATCAATGGCATAATTAGCAAACAACATAATCAACGAACAACACACAACAACATATAACAACAACATTCTTGGTTCACAACATAAATAGCGTTAGTAATATAAAACGTTGAACGATATAAAATAAAATTTAACTTCTCTAAATTTTCCCCAGATTATATCCACTTTTACCTTTAATTCCAAACTTCGATAGCTCTCGCTACGAATTATTACTTTTCAAAAATGTATATTTAATTCATCTTAAAATTTTCATTTTTTTTATTTAAATTAATTAAGCAAACATTAATTAAAGTTTAGGGCGAACCTATTACCTTTAATTAACATTAAACTTTATTAACAAATAATTAAATGAAACCTATATTTTTATTGAGTTCTGTGGATGAGAACTATGGAATTACTTTGAATTCCGCTCTCTATTTATACAAATTTTATACTACTTTCTATTCTATCTATATACTATCTTTTATGTTCTTTTTACATATTATCTTTGAACTATCTTTCTAATATGCTATCTATATTTTAAATACGCTATCTTTTAATATGCTATCTTTTTATATTATCTTTTATATTATTTTATGTTCTTTAATCTTTCTGACATTATTTTATATGTTCTTTTAATTCGCTTTATGTGTTTTTCTTATAATCTATCTTTTGTGGCTTATAATTATTCTTTCTAATTGTTCTTATTGTTAAAGATTGCTAAGCCGCAATTGATCGACTCTAATTATTCTATTGGTTCTTTGTTGATCATCTGATAAATATTACATCATGTAGATCATTGCTCTTCTTAAATGTTTATCCTTTTCGGCTAATTATTTATCCATCTACGCCAATTCATAATTAATTTGTTCGTTCTTAATATTTGGCAATTACATTTGGTGATTGAATTTTATCATCTTCTCGTGCTTGATATTTGACTGTTTACATTGGCTTCAAAAATGAAAAGTTTGAAATCAGAGGCTTGAGATGTTTCTGATATACTTATCACAGCTTTATCTGTCAAAACACTTGGTAATCCAGTTAGTTTAGAAATGTTCACTACTACATTCTCTATATAAATTAGAATATTTGATCTAATGTTTTGCTACGAAAATAGGCCCAGTCACAGGTTGAATTAGATTGAGATGCAGATAATATATTTGTTAATGTATTTATCTCAGCCTTAAATGCTGGAGGCAAAAACTCTTTCCCGAATACATTTTTACAAAAATTTCTGCGTAATAATTTTTTTTTAAAAAAAAATAATAAATAATCTCCTTTATTAAATTTTATTACAAATATTTAAAAATGTCTATGGATAAGGGTAGAACACCTAACGGAGCAGCTATAGACTTCGTTTCTGAATTTCAAGATATTTTCTTTGAAACAATATCACAACACTTAGGTACCTTTATACAGGACGGTTTCCTTAAAGACCTATATGAAAAAAAGCCTACTACACCTGTGGATAAAGCCCAGATGTTAATAGATAGGTTTGGCGAGTCAGCCAACCCTCAGAAATTTATAGAACAAGCCCGTTCTCTGAATATACAACCAACCACCCTTTCGCTCATTTTTTCTATAGCCCTTTCCGCAGCGTCCAGGTCGTGGGATAATTTTACTACTCACTTCTACATGGAATTTGGCGATATGGGCGATGAAGTTGACCCTAATTTATTCGATGAGTCAGAAGATGATGAATGGAATGCAGCTGAATTAGGCTCTCAGCTGAGCGAATTAGGAGTACAAACACCAAATCCAGTACTTGAAACGCCTCCAATACTGCCCGATGTGGAAATGACCCCTGCAGATCAAACTGTGACACCCGAAACTTCCCAGAAGAAAGATAAACAAAAAGCGTGTGTTACAGCTGAAAAACAAGTCAAGAACCAATCAATAACGGCAAAACCTGATGCTAAAACATCAGCAAAAAATTCCCAAAAGGATAAGAAATCATCCGATAATGAGGTTACTCAAATACTGACAGGATACGAAGCTGTCAGAGATGAGCAAGAGCGAATCCAAGACATAATAGTTTACGATATCCCATATACCTGGGACCTGCAGAAGATACTAGTAGAGTTAAAATTTTGGGGAAACACTATCAAGTGTTCGGTTAAACGCCAACACAAGTATCAGACTCTCCGAGTCAAGATAGCTCTTTCCTCCTTCTCCCTTCCCCAGTTTAACAAATATTGGACGACAGACCTGGGAGGTATACCTGTGAGATAGTTCCCTGCAAGTTGGACTTTACGAGAAAGAAAACAACGTGAAAAGTTCCAAGCCGTCATTCATGACATTCTGGAGGATATGACGATGGCTACCTTGTGGACGGACCGTAAACCAAGCCAATTTTTAATGCATAGCGGTGCCAGTGCATTTAAAATTATTCAAACAAGTAAAGGAAAAAGAAAACTGGTAGGTTATTTCGAGAATTGGGAGACCACGCTCAAGGCCTTAGATTCACCACCAGTTTCTTTACTCTCGGGCAAAGAGTTGAAATGGTGTCAACATTCTATTCCTAACTTGAAGAAAGCACGTAAACTGAAGACTAAAAAGACCCTGGACACGAAGACATCTGGTAAAGCAGGTAAAGTTCCGGTCAGTAATAAGTCTAAGAAGAAGGATCAAGTATCGTCCTCGACCTCAAATAAGAAGAATGAAAACCAGTTGAAGGATCCCCGCGCTCAGAAGAAGGCAAAGAAAACCTCAAAGAGCAAAGACCGTGATAAGGGTAACCAAGTAGTTTTAGCAGAGATTTTATCCCTTTTACGTAGACTAGTATAGTTGTTTCTTTTTTTCTTATTAGAATCTTAGCATTTTAGGGCTGAGTTACCTTAGCGTTAGGATGTTCTCATCCTTTTTTCCTGTTTTTATCTACTCTATTAATGGTTGTGTTTTAGAGTGGCTAGTTTTTTACAAAAATCCTAGTCAGGGTTTGCTTTTTAGTGGACGAAGTTTATCATTGTGTTTTACATAGTTTTTTACTAGCTCTAAATTATCAATGTTATCCTCCTGGCTCGCCTTAAAATAAATAAAATAAATAAATTTATCTCAGCCTTAATTTGATCATTCTCCTGAGAAACGGTTTTCAAAGTCACATGACTCTGATCGTGAAGAATCTTCCCGGTTTCATTGTGTGAGAATTCACATATTCTATAAGGACTCTTTCCCGAATACATTTTTTACGAAAATTTCTGCGTAATAATTTTTTTTTAAAAAAAATATTCCCTTTATTAAATTTTATTACATAAATATAAAAATGTCTATGGATAAGAGCCGAACACCAAACGAAGAAGCTTTAGACTTCGTTTCTAAGTTTAACGAAATTTATTTTCAAACTTTTACACACAACTTAAGTTCT